CCCTCTAGGCTCCGGTTGAACGCATAACCAAGCGTCGAAGTCCGCAGGCTGCTGGGTCGTTGGCTGCCCTCTAGGCTCCGGTTGAACGCATAACCAAGCGTCAAAGTCCCCAGGCTTCGGTTGAACGCATCAGCGAACGACAAACTGTGCGGGCCACCGGCTCCAAGACGAACCCCGTACCCCATAAGGCATCGAAGGGGGTTCTGGGGCTACAGTTTTCCTACCAGACCTCGCTGGTGAGGCGATCTGAGCCCTTACATGTATATATACATATATACATATGTATATATTTCATGCATGCATGCATGCATGCATATAGACGGACGGACGGGCGTGCGGACAATCAGACGGACAGACGGACGGACAGACAGACCGACAACCAGACAGACAGTCATACCAAGACGAAAGAGCGGCGAATGTTACTAAACTTGCAAAGCCAGGTAGACCACGATGTTGCAGATGCTTCTTCCAAAGACTCGATTCCGAAGTACAGTCCCTTAGCCACCGCCCTCAAGTTGGAAAGGAGATGAGGGGAGTCGAAATAGAAGGCCTTCCTGCTCTCTGTTCCAATATGTTGGCCTCCAAGACTCTAAACTCGTCCTAAAAACGTGCCATGCGCCACAAACCCCAATCCTAAACCCGAAAAACACCAAATCCCCACCAGACCCCCACCCAAAACTGAGTGCCCTGCCCCGCCCTGCCTGCCCTGCCCTGCCCATGGACTATCGGCCACTGCGCATGAAGACGTGCTAAGCCCCAAACCCTAACCCCCAAACCCTAAGCCCCAAACCCTAAGCCCCAAACCCTAAAACCCTAAACCCTAAAGCCCTAAAGCCCTAGACTTGACCACTAAAACTCCAACAGAAGACAAGGCTTTAGGCCGCAAGCGAGACGGATTGGAGGCTCATGAGTGGTTTTCTTTGGGGGTGCTTAGGGTTGCGGTTTCGGGATTTAGGAGTTCAGGTTTAAGGATTTAGGACCTCAGGGATTCAGGGATTGGGGGGTTCAGGGATTCAAGGATTTGGGGTTTGGGGCTTTTTTCGGTTAAGTTAAATTTAGGGTTCAGGCTTCGGAGTTCAATGAGGCAGGGAGCTGACTGCGGGTGCAAGCAATGCTGGTGGACAGTAGCCTGCGATACCGATCATCAGAAGACGCCACATGTCGCGTAGTTTAGGGTGTGATGCAAGGTTGTGTCCAACACCCGAAAAGGTTAGCTGTTGCAGGGATTTCGTATGTTAGCACCGAGGAAAGAAAATACAGTATGTCATTGAGCCCGTAATCAACGTCATCTCGACACTCGCATAACATGTTGAGGAGTGCGCATATGATAATGTAGTTTCTCAACATTGAACCAACATCTATGAAAGTCAGTACTCAGTGGCTGTCATTATTTGGCAGCTGTAGAGGATCCGTGGAGCCTTTTCGCTGTTTTCCAGCATACCATGTGTTCGGTAACGCGTTCCAGGTTTATTGCACTTCCACTTTGGGGTTTCGTGGGCGTCTGTCCTGTTTGGTTTTAGTGGTTAAGCTTGGGGCGTCAGCGTTTCAACCGTCTGACATCCGAAACCATAAACCTCAAGCCCTAAAGGTACAGCCCACTTAACCCTAAACCCTAATCGCGAGTCCTTCCGACTCCATGAGCAGCCTACCCTGGCCCATGGTGATTCTTCGAAGCCCAGTTTAGGGTTTGGGCTTTAGGGTGCCTGTAGAGTAAGTCGAGTAGGTCACTGGGTTGTGGGTTAGAGAGCCCTGCTTTAGTCATTACGGCCCCTACACTAAATCCTTATAATTGCCCTTATAGTCGACTTATAGACCAGCCCTATTGGATGTGTTCACCCTGGTCTTCAAGCAGCCTGATAGTCTGACAATGTCCGGAATCGCACCTCGGGCCTGCTTTGACTCATCAAGCCCTCTTCAACCCCACCTGCTAGGCCCCGAACCCTGAACCCTAAACTCCAAACCCGATGCTTTAGGCTTCTTGAGCCCTAGACTTCAAACCCTATGCCCTAGGCTCCAAGCCTTTAGACCCAATTCCCGAGGCTCCGAGCCCTAAAGATTTGAAGGACGTTCCACGCCCGCTGCCCTTTGCGATGTGAGCTGTCGGCTTCGCGTTCCTGGGATCCTTGCATCCGCTTCGGATGTTTAGGGTTGGCATTTAGGGTGTAGGCTTAGTATCCAAGGTTGAAGGTATTTACGTTCACAAGAGCCAGGAGACCGTGATGCATAATTTAAAGTGCCAGCTGTCAAGTGGCGGGTCCATACTGCATGTAGAGATGAGGACAAGTTTGAATGTAAACAGGTATGTACATGTATGTACATACACACATACATACATGCATATTATTCAGTGGATTATCCATACATGTACATAAGAACATACGTACGTGTACAACACACAGACCGATCAAAAAGATGGACTTTGTTTAGCCAGGGAACTCAGCAATCAGGTTTCACCAGCGCACACTGCACAAATGTGCATGCTGATAGCGCCTTACAAGAGCTGCGTGTGGAAGTCGCCGGCACGCCTTGTTGGGCATAGTAAATCGGGAGTTACTTCGCGTGGCCCTCCAATTTGAGGTTTTGCGGATTGGAAAGTGGGCAGTTGCAGGTGTTGAGGACCAAGATCGACAGGCGCCTTTGACTAGTTCTTCCAGGTTATTGCATAGTGGAGTGGTGCTTAAGCACATCACTCAAGGATTTGTAGTCGCATACATGCAGGGATATTACACTGTCAGTAAAAAGTCGCGCGTCGTGCTCTCACTGTGAGAACGGTACTAGCGTGTGTCGGTAGTATTCGACAGGTACATTGGGTAGCAAGCGGGGGTTACCTCCCAGGCGGCATTCGCACTTCACGTCACTCTCAATTATGACTTGGCCCGATTCCTTGAGCACTGGAGCCATACCAATGTTATTCCTTAGGCTTTCTACGATCATCATTATTGTATTGCAATAATCCAGAAAACCGATCAAACTATTCAGGCCCAAGATTCATGTTCTCATCGCCAGGCGAACCCTTAAGGAGATGGGCTGCAGGGAATTTGAGGTTTAGGACTGGGATTAACGCCCTACCTTGCGATTCAGGTGTATGGGAGGTGGGCACTTGCCTCACACAGCAGCCACTTTTAGACACAGGTAGACCAGCGCCTGTGCAGCCTTACGTGTAGCATTGCGACGGCGGCACTGCGGGGAAGCCGGCTGGCTGCAAACTTCTTAAGTCGCAGCAAGTATCGACACCCTTTATTCCAATTTAGCGTTTAAGGTCTAGGGCGTGATGATGCTATCTAGTTCATTCCGGTTTCGAAGCTTGCCGGCGCTGCCCAGAGCCTTTCGGCCAGACTGCTGCACTTATCATACATTATTTTGAACAGGCTGTCGGAGAATGCACCTATCCCCTTAAGCCCTAAACCTAAACCTTAAAGTCGTTAGTCTGGGGTGTTGCTTGGTTGTCGTTAGTTACGGCCTGGGGTTCAGCTTCATGGCCCAGTTCTACGACTAAAATAGGGTTTTGCGGTATATTCTTCCAATAACTACGGTTGATGATGTACATCCTGCAGCACCTTAAATGACCCTAGACTATGGGAATTATGGTATATTCCTAATTTATGAGCAATGCAGGATTTATATCATCAACCGTATGTTAGGGGGCCCAAGAGATCTTTGGGTTTCATCCTTTTTCTTCGTGGGTGCGGGGGTCTGAGGCTGTGGGGTTGGCGGTTCAGGATCGAGCGAAGGACAAAGGTTCTTGAGGGACGGACCAGAGCTCAACAACATGCCGAGCTGCACCCTTTTGCGGGGAAGCAGCCACGGTGCCATCCGATACTTGCTCAACCCACTTTATGTTACCAGCAAAGCTGGGCACTCAACCGGGTCTCAGTATGCAAAAGGTCGCGCTTCCGCGGTTTAACAAGGGGTGTCCGGTTTCCGGATAAGTCCGAAACCCTATAAAACCTGAACCCTTCAAGATTTTGAGTCCGGGGCTCATGGTTTGGGGAAGATCTGTCAGGTTCCTAGGTTTCAGCTTTGTAGACGAGTTCGTCTGAAAGTTCCAGAACAACTAGGTGATCGAATTCCTTGGGAATCATTTGGGGGGTTTCCGAGATTAGGGGTACCTTATTTTGGGGTCCTTTTAGTCAGGATCCGACTATTTAGGGTACTTTATAAAGATCCCCTTTGTTCTGAAATTCCCATTTCTCACTCCCAAAAGAAGTGGAAACCCCATCGGATATCGTTTTGGGGATTGGGAGGGGGGTCGACGCGACTTGCGTAAAGTTATGCCCAAAGATCGGACATCAGAAGTACCCACTTTTTCTGAAACACAGGAGGCTTGGCAATTTAGAGTCCACGGTGCAAGTTCCTGCCATCATGCAAAACCTAACACACCGTCTGGATGCCAAAACCCCACCAAAAAGTTGATCCATGAGCCCGGACCTCCTTCAAAGGAAGGGATTCCAACAACATAGGGCCAAAATAATTACCAGAACTAGTTTGAGGGTATAGGGTTAAGGATTTAGGATGGCATAGGGCTAGGGTATAGTTAGGGTTAAGGATTTAGGATGGTTTAGGGTATAATTAGGGTTTAGGTTTAGGACGTGTAGGGTATAGGGTTTAGGGCTCATTGGTTTTGATGGACCGCAATACACCGCCCGTACTCGCTCCCTTTTTTCCCGAGAACAACAGACTGCCAGACACCCTAACGCGACCCTGATTTCCAGCTTGAGCAAATGGAACTCGCCCATGCATGAAAATCTCCGTTCAAGCCAAAGCCTGAACCCGTGCACCTTGAACCCCAAATCCTAAACCCCCGACTGGTATGAAGGAAGAGAGGCAATAGCCCCAACTCCCGAACTCGATTAAAAAGATTGTACGTGTTCAAACTGCATTCCTCATTTCTGGGTTTGCAGTCTCCGTGGACCCTCCTAAACCCTCAACCCTACTCCCTGAAGCTTACATCCCAAACTCTGAATGGTCTCTAAAGCCGCCTTAATTAAAGTAGCAACTCAATGGAGCGTCTGTGGCTGGCTGCGTTGCTTGGATCCGCTGCTGGGAGCCCGGCTGCTGGCCTGCAGGAGAGATGCTCTTTGTTTTTTCGCTAGTAGTACGTCAGAATTAAACTAGGGTTCTGGGGGCTTTTTGGTGTACATTATAACCACCAAGAGACTGGTGATAGGGAATGCACTTCAACTCGTACTGAGGATCCCTTATTGAAAAGAGGCACTCTCTAATCTCTGAAGCCTACAGTCATGATCGTTTGACGTGCGGACCATTCTGTCTAAATATAGTAAACACAACATATCGTAATGACTATACTATTAGTATAGTCATTACGATATGTTGTGTTTACTATATTTAGACATACTGTAGTATACTATAATATGTAATATACGGGAACGGGTGTTTGTTGCTGCCACTGTTGCTCTTGTTTTGCTGATGTGCCCAGCCGCAAATCAGCAAGACCGCAGCCACAGCAGCAACGACACCCCCCCCCCGCAGCAACAGGAAAAACAAAGCACACCCCCTCGCAGCAACAGCAAAAAAGGCAGCAACAGGGAAACCACAAACAAACAACAACCCTACCCTAGACGCTATAACGTACTATATGTCGCGAATTTATACTTTAATGTCGTACAATATACTATTTAAAGCACCTCGGCCCGAAATAAATCCTAAACTCAGTTTCTTTAACCATCGTTTGTCTCCCCAAACCCTGGAAAAATAGTTCGGTTCTGACCCCTCGAACTATAGGAGGCAAACCTAAGCCGTAAACCCCAAACTCTAAACCCCAAGCTTTAAACCCTAAACCCTAGACCCCGCACCCTAAACCCTACCCTGTCCCACACTAGAGGTGAAGAAGTGGCAGATCCATGGGCCGTCTCCCGGCCAGAGCTGGCAAGTGAAACCCGGGTTTTGGAGTTTAGGGTTCAGGGTGGGTTCAGAATTTAGGCTGCAGGGGTTAGTGCGTTAGAGTTTAAGGGTTTAGAGTGGTAATTCCTGAATACCATGCTTTGAAGAGTTCAGGGCTAAGGATTTTGGGCGTTCGCGGTTCGGCAGCTGTGGGGGGTCCTGGAGCTTTTGTTTTACTTTAGGGCCTTTCATAATTATCATGGGGGGTTTTCGGGTATATAAGCATAAGATTCACCAGGGGATGTTTGCTATGTCGTAGGGATTGTAAGGGTGTATTAGATTATTGATGATGAGCCAGACTGTGCAGTCGATGTAAGCCAGGAGCTTCGTGTTTCGGCTGAGGGCACCTTCTCTTCTGATTTGCCACAAGTTCCTCGATCATGTGGTTTCATCACCCTTTGGAATGCAACAGCATTTGTTACTCTGTTGGTAAAGTGGCACAACCCAGAAAAACTCGCGACGCCGTTTGCAACCCCAGAAACTGTGTGACTCCCATATTTGCTGCGTTCCGAGGGTCTGGGTAGATGTTGCTGAAAGGTTCATTGTCGGCAAGAATGAGCTGGATGGAGAGCCATGGCGATCTTCGAATGCCACAGTTCCTTGCTGCAGTTTTAGGCTTAAAGTGTTGGGGGTTTCGCCTCTAAGCAGTTCCGGGTTGAAGAGCTTCGATACCGGGTTTAGGCTTTAGAACTGTGTTGAGGGCTTGCAGGGGCTTTCGGAATTCAGGGTCTTGGAGGAGGCGGTCTGGGCTAGGGTTTAGCTCTAGCTCGAAGGTTGTCAAAGCTCCTGCACCCAGCTTTCACCCACGAACCCTGGACCCGTCGACCCAAAATCCGTAAGACTTAAGTCCCCATCCCTATTTGGACCCCGAAGACCGCACAATCCCCAGCCACCAAACTTCCTAAACCAAAACATGCAAAAGAAGGCGCGAGAGAGCGAGCAGGCCCCCCCCTCCCTGCCCTGTGGAAGAAGAAGATGGTTCTGTGTGCATATGCAAGATATCTTATATAGAGATCTATATGGGTGGTTGTCAAACTTAGGGTTCCTTTTTGGGTACCCTAGATAACAGGTGCCGTGCTATAGTAGGGACCCAAAACGGGACCATAATTTTGATGACAACCAACCATATATCAGTATCAGGTCTATGAGGCAGTTATAGAGCACTAGAGTGGCAATAGTGTGTACCTGATACCTAAACCCTGAACCTTATGTATAACCCCTCAAATCCTCAGAGCGACTGCAGGAACTCATGTCCGGTGGAGTGGCGACAACTCGGCGCCTCACTGCCGACTCCGCTGGAAATGCTCCTCGGCTATGACTTTGTAGGACTGTTTCATTTCTGAAATGCTGGGACTTCCGGAGTTCAGGGTGTAGCGGGGTTTAGGGTTTGAGAATGACCCGTCTGTCGTGTTGTCGTGTTGATATCTCTGTGCTAGGTGTTAGACTCCTTTGTGCTTGTCACTCTTTATGATTCGGCGATTGCTCTGGAATGCTGGAAGTCACTGTTGAGGGTCATGATAGGCCTAGTGGTAGAAATAACGTGTGAGGCGGACGAACAGGAGGAATGTGGGTTGAGATCGAGCACTTTTGGCTCCCGGTTCAGGGTAACTTTAACGAGGGTCTCCCCAGTGCTCCGCAGTATTCGGAGAACCTGCTTCTCCGTAGAACAGAAATGGAAGCGTCTTTTTATCTACATGGTTTTACAGGATCCTCAAGTACAACTGAAAGCCATATAGATAGCCGTCCTTGCTGTAGGAGCAGACGGGGTTTAGGCTAAAGCCTACACCCCCTTAACCCTTGAATCCCAAACGTTAACAAGACTTCGCAGGCCGCATTAGCTGAGAGTTTAGGGTTTATGGTTCAGGTTTGGGTTTCAGGTTTAGTTCGAGTGGTTTCGGGTTTTCAGGTCGGATCAGTCGGTCGGCATGGCCATGCAAGTCTTGCAAGTAAAGACGCTCCTAAGAAGCGTTATGCCTGCAAGCGCTTCCACCGCATCGATTGTACAGTAGTAGCCGTACAGTAAACTGTATACTCCCCTTTTCGCTGCTGTGTCACGGCGCTTTACGCCTGTCTGCAGGGCTACCATTCAGTCAGCAGACGACGTAAGACTTCTTCATCTTTGTCCTTTAGATGTTCTTGCCGATGGTTTCGGGTTTTGTGATTTACGGTTCTTGTTGGGATTTGCTGTGGATCCTACGGGGCAGGGGGCCTTACTATTCTTCAACATTTCCAGTCCCAGAGGCAATGTTCAACCCCAGACCCTCAGCCATAGGCGCCGAACGAACAAGTAAAAGATAAACGACCACGTAAAAAGGAATACTCGTATAAAGAAGCACATACATACATGAACATCCGTACGTACATACATGCATGCATACAAACACACATACATACATACGCATGTCTGGCCTCTGGTGCTAAACCCCTCAAGGGCCGACAATCCGGTCAGCAGCTCAGGTGCAAGTGAGTTGGCCTGAGGCCGGGTTGAGTTGAGGATGTTTAGGGCGTGGGGTTTAAGGTGATTCAAGGTTTTTTCGGGTATGCGGTTTTCTGGTTTGAGCGTTTAAGGCTTCAGGCACTTAGGGTGTTCAGGGTTTGGTTCCAGCCGTAGAACCTGGATTTGGGTGCAGGGCATAGAGGTTTTCAGGATTTATAGAATTTTCTGAGATTCTTCCGGGTTCATAGGGTTTTACAAGAATGTCTCACAGTTTAGATGTTGTTCTGAGGATTTCTTGGGGGGGGTGTAAAATTGTTTAATGGGGGGCTACTCTGCGGCTCAGGGGATAAGTAACGGTGTTTCAGCCAATATAGGGCCTTAATCATTTGAACCCTGATCTTGGTATGTTATTAGTATGTGTAATGTAAGCTCCAAGGGATAGTTTTGGTAATTGCTCAAGCCCCGGTATTCGGCACTGAGGAAGCAACTTTAAGCCCTGAGCTTCTAAACCCTAAACCTGAACCCCAAACCCTAAGCTCCTAAACCCCAGATTTCTCATCGGGTTTGTTTGAGACAGGTGGACTGGCAATCCCTCGTCTCTGCTGTGGGTGGGCACGAGCTGCTTGAGTGGCAGGCACCTTGGAGAGTCGTGGTGGAACTGCTATCCACACTTCTGAGGCTATTCAGGGCACTCATCTTGATACATACAGTTGCAGGCTATTTTAACCTATACGGTGATTGGCAAAAATTGGCATACAGAACACTAGGCTACCCTGTTTTGTGGCTCCATTCTTGAGATCCGTTAAGGGGCATGTAGAGGTTGCACACAGCTTTGTCAAGGTTTAGGGAGTTTAGCCGGAAATCCGGCTTTTGGTTGAGCGAGAAACACACAGGGAGCGAGGAAGAGGGAGCGACAAAGAAAGCGCTCGAGACAAGCGACGCAAAGGAAGAACGAAAGTCACAAAGAGAAAGATTAGTATATGCTGCGTGGAGCGGACGAATCCTCAATTGGTCAACCCAAGTTTATAGCAGAAGGCCTGACAAGGAATTCTTTCTTGTAGAGCCGAAGCATGTGCTAACAAGGTACATAAGTAAGATCCTCCTCTCATGAATATTCCCGGGGCCGTCCCAACTCCTCAACCTTCTTCCCGAAATCCTGCGACCGAAATTCCAGAAGCCACAAAAGAAAAAGACCGGAAGCCCAAAACCCCAAACCCCAAAGCTCTGAAAACATACATCCTTCAAACAGGGACTCCTCAAAGAGCCTCTGGGTTGAACAGCTGGAGCTCCAGCGATGGTTTTTGTGTCAGGCGCGAGCGACGGGCAGTCTCAAGGTATCTGAGGATTCAGACATGCTGGTGGGCTGCCTCTTGGGCTTGCACTTGCGAGTCCTGGGGCAGCCATGTCTTGTTTTTGAACTTTGTGGTTTTTGAGTTGTGTTTGAGTTCCTAGGTGGTGTTACTTCAAGGGCTGTATAGTGCTTGCCAAGGGCTTTCTATAGGGTTCCACAGAGTTCTACTTGAAGGTTTAAATGCTGAGTCAAAAAGGAACCCTTGTTCGTAGGGAGTATATAACTGGAGAAGCTAGTGTACAAGACATACAACATCAGCGTAAACCCGTAAAAACCCTGCATAGCCTCATAGCGCTTGTAGGGCCCCTTTCAAGACAGTGTTGCATCAAGTGCTCATCAATTGGCATTCAGAGGGTTGAGACTGTAATATGGGGGCCTTAATTGTTGGGGCTCCTTAATATAACTATTCCAAAACCCTATTCTAATTATTAAGGCCCCTATTAAAAGGGCTTACAACCCAGGGTTCAGGAGGATGTGGGGCTTTGGCGCTTTACGGGGGGACTGGCGTCTGATGGCTGATGACTTCTGAACCGAAGCTCTGACCACTTAGTCCTCCTCAGCCAAGCAAGCCCATGATACTGCAACGACAACCCAAAGACCTGAGCTGGGTTCTTGTTAAGGGTTGAATTTAAGTTGCCGTAGTAAGGAAACCATATTACTTGCTACGGATCCCTACCATGGTAACTTAATTCTTTTCCTTCCCACAAACTTGCAGTGAGCGTTTGAGGCCAGGGCGTTCCAGCCTTCCAGTTGGATGGGCAGGCTTTTGTTGGCGCTTCTGGGACGAAAGATGGGCAGAGGAGTGGGGCTTGAGACTTCCAGGTTTTTGTGTTTCGGGCCTGAAGTCTGGAGTCTAGAGCTTGAAGTCTGGGGTTTCGGGCCCTGGCTTTGGGATGATAGATGGTGCGGGCCTTTGTGCTTCTTGCTGCTGAAAGGTCGAAGCCCGAAGACATGAAGGGTTTAAGGTGTAGCTCAGAGCTTTGACTCAACCCTCTAGGACCTCTTCAGAAGCCTCACAGGTCCTGCACAGCCCTGCAGTATCCCATCAACCACCGTAGACACTTCATTGCGGGAACCGAGGACGCTAAACCCTGAACCGGATCTAGGGTTTACCTTAACCTTGAAGAACCTACTTTTTTGGGGTTCCACTAATGATTTCCTTATACAAGTCCTCAAAAAGGAATTCTAAGCCTTGCAACCTAGAGGACCTAGAGTCACACTACCAAAACCCTGAACCCCAAAGAAAGCGAACCTCTAGTTCCGCAAGTTGTGGACTAGACCCATACTAACCAAGATGCCTCGTAGAAATCGTATGGGAAGCCTTAGACAAAGAACCCTTAAAGGAACTAAACGCAAACCCTAAGCCCGAAATGTAACCACCGTCTACGAAACTGAGCGAAACTGAGAAAGTCCCGATAACCAATTCCCCAGTGCCCAACTAAGATTGCCTTAAACCTAAATCCTGTGTTATACAATCCGACCAAAACCCTTTTTTGAAGCCCTTGATACCGAACCTTTAATGCCAAAGGCGCGAGATCTTACAGGAGCCCTAAACCCTAAGCCCTAAGCCTTTAAAGGGGCCCTGTATGTATCAGGATCTTTACCATGTTGGGCTTCCGCGGTGGCCAGCGCCTCGACAGCGACTGCAGACTCCGGATTTCACGCTTTTCGTGTATAGGAGCGAGGGCTTAAGGTTTGGGGCTCTGGGGGAGGGCGGGGGTGTTTGAATGTACCTTAAACCCAAAATCCCAAATCGCAATTTTCTGTTTAAGTCCCAAAGATTTGTGGTTTTAAGTTCGGAGTTCAGGGGCAGAGGGTTTGGGGTGTAGGGTTTAAGTGACAAGATCTGAGATTGCTGGGTTTTTTGCAAAGTTTGGTCGGGGGGTGGGGCGGGGCTGTCTAACATTAGTTTCCGGGTTCGGGGGCTTTGGCGGTAGTTTTCGGGCTAAGGGGGCTAAAGGTTTGGGGGTTCGGGGTTTGGGAATCGACATTCAGGTAGGTTGGATGTTTCTCGCATAGTGTTTCGGCCAGAGGGCTAGGAAAATGGGTACAATAAAGAACCAATATATCCCAGAACCCGATTCTAGTCGTTCAGGCCGCTGTATTCTCCCAGCGGAGGTAGGTTTCTGGGCTTGAGGGCAACAAGCTCGCTGTGCAGCATGATCAAGAACACCATCCTTCGTCACTTTCTCTTGCCACGCATCTCCTTGGGATTTCTCATGCAGTCTGCAACATAGGAGCCTTCATAATTAGACTGTGTTCCGAGCCACATTATACTCGACTTATAACGAGGGTTCCCAAAATAGTATTGATAGTTATATAGGCCCTACAGTATCCCAACCCCAAGGCCGAAACCCTCAGTCCGAGCCGCAAGAGAATGGGCAGTTACAAATCCTTCGTAGGTGGTTCCTTTGATAATATACATATATATATATGTATGTATGGATATGGGCGGTTGTCAAAATTATTGTCCCTTATGGGGCCTTGTTAAAATACGGCATCTAATATTTAGGGTACCCACAATTTTGGCAACCACCCACATCAATCTGAACACTCAACCCTTAAACCCTAAACTCTGGAACCTAAGCCGTAAGCCCCAAACCCTAAACCCTGAACCCCAACCCTTAACCCTCTAACCCTTCAGCCCAAAACCAGCCAATTCCCAGGTGCACTTGCCAGCAGGCAGCCATCGTATCCAGCTTCGGCTTCGTGGGAAGATACAAACCCAGTCCATTGGAATGTGATTATGATGGGTTTTAGAGTTTGGGTTGTGGAGCCTATGATTTTGGGTTTAGGGTCTTTCGTTCCAGAGTGTATGGTTTAGGGTTTCGGATTCTATTAGAGTTCTATAATATGGGTTCAGTGGTTAGGAATTTGATTACGACGGGTTGAGAGTTGAGCGTTTGGGGTCGAGGATTTGGGGTTTAGTTTTCGATAAGGGTTCTATAAGGGCTATGAACCTCGACGATTGTGTCGTCGTTCCATAGGTTTGTGGTCGGGTATTTGTGCATCTTGTCTATCTGCCAATGTGTCGTCTCATGAAATTTCTTCTTCGTGCTGCCATGCTGCTGCTGCTGCTGCTGCTGGTGCAGGTCGGCTGCTGGTGCTGCTTACTGCCGCCGCCAGCGCGCATTTCAAGCCCTAGCCCCGCTCCGAGAATGGCTTTTACCAATCATGGATACACATGCCGATCCTCGCCGTCCTAAGCAAGATGAAAGTTGTCAATACTGATAGGGACCGGTGATCCAACAGGGTATCTTGTCGCTGACCTCACGCTGTGGTGAAAATCTAGTCGGGGTCGGCCACAGACTAGTGATGCGTACTATCGCTATCGGCGAAGCCCAGACCTTGCCCTGGAAAGCCAAGAGTGTAGAACGCATGAGCGGAGAACGGGATTTCCGAAGCAAATCAAGATCCATTCAAAAAGCCCAGAGCCCCAATCCACATCAAGATCCAGCCCCAAAGCCTATAACCTCAATCCTAAAGCCTTATCCCTGGGATCCAAAGCTGCTAGGACGCCGAACCCAAAGCCCTAAACAGTTATAAGGTTCGCCTGCTTCGTTGAGAAGATCCGAGCTGAAGCGTCCCCACTTCAGCTCTTCGGCGTGGCCCGGCTGCAACCGAACGCATCCAACTTCTCAGGGCTGGGGTAATACAAGGATCGGAACCACCAGGCTGCATAGTTTTCCTTAGCGCTGCTGGTTTTTCTCCTTCTTCTTTTAGTATGAATAGATACAAACAGACATTACATACACACACACACACATATATATATATACATATGCATATATATATATATATACACACACACATGTATCACGCTCTTCAGGGCTTGGGTAGATTTACGGTTTTGAGAATTGGCACCGTGCTACGGCTGACGGACAAAGTCCTGCATAGCTAAGATTTCAAAAAGCGAAACGACCAAACTCGTGGCCGAGTTCTTTGCACCAGTAGCGCAAGCTTGAGCCGATCCCTGAACCCTAAAACCTAAGCCCGAAACCCTAGCATACAGGTGTCAAGTTGAAAGGCGCTCCATATCCGAGTCTCTCGACCCTCCACCCCCTAAAGCCGAACATCCCAGCAGTACAAGACCCCTCAACCCGGAATCTTAAACTAAGACAGAAGCCTCAATAATTACCTAGACTTCGGGTGACTACTTCGGGTGTTCCTTGTTATCAATATGGGAACATATCACTGTCAATCCGATTCGAGTGATTCAGGCCCCTGCATTACTGCATCCTCACTCCGAGACCCTGGCTCCTAGACTCCTGCAGCCCTAAACCTTCGCTTTTTACAAGGAATCCCAAACCACGGCCCAAACCCGCACCTTAAACTCAAAACCCAAGACCCTGACCTTAAACCCTAAACCCTACACCCTAAACCCTAGGTCGAAACCCCCAACATCCTCCGAATGCGTGAAGTCTGAGAGTTTCACACTGGCGTGGCTTTCAAGGAGAGTTTCCTCGCGGCCCCAGATCTGGTGGAAAGCGCAGGTGCAGAGCGAGTTCAGGGTTTAGGGTGTAGGGTTGATTCTTTAGGGTTCAGAGATTTTGGATACAGGGTTTAGGGTGTGGCGGCTGTTCAGCGGTGCAGGGGTCTAGGATTTACTAGGGTTTCGGGTTTAGGGTAAAGGTGTTGATCTGTCCAGCGGTTAACCTTCAAGTCCAGCCTAACCCTAAACCCTAAACCCCAACCGTCCTGCTACCGTGCCAGCAAGTCTGCTGTATGTGGAGCCGTATTCAGTTGACAGTGGACTCTGAACAAGTGTGTGTCCGCCGAACCGCGAGCGATTGGACTGGCGATCGTCCGGCATACGCTGTTGATGAAGCTGCTGCAATTTTTTTAGGGCCGATGTTGATCGAGAGCCCTACGCGCAGGCGCTTCCACAACGACGTTTTGTGTAAAGCCTTTCCCAGCCTGACGCACAGCCTCTGCGGAAATGTGCTGGACCATGCCCCTGAGACTTGCCTTGGACGGACAAGGTCACCACTGTCCGGCACTACCCATCCAACGCCCCTAAAAGCTTTATGTCTCATGTGGATGTACATAAGTCTCGAGGAATCGCATCCTTCGTCTTTCTTGGTACTCGTGTTGAAATGCGGCCTGTCCATGTGCAACGATTTCGGCCTGGAGACATCGTTTGAACCCTGGAAAATCATGGTGTCTGTCGGCCAGCGTGAATCCCGGAAGCCTTGAACCCATAGCCCTAGACTGAACTCGAAACCTTGAAACCCCATAACTAGCCCTTAGTCATCGCCTGCGATGCTACATCTTCGTGTTTCAAGAATCTTGAAATTTAGATGTTCAAAGGGCTCCAATCTGTAAACCCTAAGACCGTAAAGAGCACCACCGAAAGTGCCCTCCTCCCTCACCCTCACGAAAAACCAACGATGTTCTTTAGAGGCTCTGTGGCATTGAGCTCGCCCCTTCTGTCCGTCGGGTTGGCGAACTTGAATGCCCCACACAAGGAGGCAAAGTGAAGCCTGCTTTTGGGCTGTTGTGGGGCTAACTCTGCAACCTTGGGCAGCAAAGGCAAAGTCTAGACGGTTTGGCTGTTGCATTGTAGCTAACTAGCACGGGGGGGTATTTTACAGTATACTCATTGCAAAGAGCCCTCGGCAAGTACTCAGGCCAATATGTTAGACGCAGTGGTTTATCTGCGCATCAAAAGCCCATGCCGCACCCGAACCCAACGATCGAAGGTGTGACCATGGATTAACCGCCACCCCAAGGAATATACCTTTGGATTTGGGGCCTTTATATGACAGTTTATGGTAAGTTCCATACTACAGATGTATGGGGCTCCGGGACTATCGACCATCCTCAATGGTTAAGACATAGGATTGTCCTTGTAGAGGGTCTCACTAGTAAGATTGAAAACAAAGATAGAATATTCATAACGGGTTGCCTGAAACCCGCCCAAGATATGAAGACTCTGAGACTGCTTAGGAGCTTTAGTACATGTCAAGGTATATAGTTCATTTCTCCACAATGGGCTTGTGGGTTGTCTTGGTACCTTAAACTAGACTCCTATACACCCCGTAGAAAAAACCTACTAAGCCCTTGTAACAGCTTTTCAACTCCTGTAAGATCCTTGCGACGCCTTAGGCAAAGCGCGAAAGCTGTATACACCCCGAATCGAATTCCAAACCCTTCGAGTTATGACACTATCACTTGTGTTAGTGTAAGTGGCAATAAACCCGTCGAGCAACACCAAATCCTTAGTATAGATATTCCTTGCAGCTTCTTACGCAACTCTGCTCACAGGGCAGGAATAATAGATTTTCTGTTAGGGCTCCTTATTAAAGTTCTAGTCTAAGGGACCCCCAAGCCCTATGTTAATTTTTAGAACCCCTACAGGAGAGCTTCGTTCCTTTTGTGGGGACTAGAGACCTCCCACAGGCGGATGGCGACGCTTGGATCCGTGACCTGCGCCCAAAGCTGGTGGCCGCAGATAGCGTGGGCAGCAGGCGGCTGGCTTGAAAGGCTAGGATACTACGAAGATACGGTTCGTAATGCCGAAACCCTAGATCGCATAGCGCTGAGAGTTTGAAGCTCCCGGGTTGATGGTGGGGAGCTGGAGGTTTTACAGACTATCAACCGAAGTATCAGAGGAGTTGAGTTTATAAGTACTTCAACCGCAGTTGTTCTAGTGATGACACTATACTTATGGAAGCTAGTCTGTGCATCCCCTGATTCTTCAAGTACCCCGCTAGCGCTGCTTAAGAAAGGTTTAGGCTGATGGCAGAGGTCGCTGACTCTCGTAACTTCTGTGGCCGTTGCATCGGACCGCTGCTGTTGAGCTCTCTCGTTTGAAACAAAAATCAACAGCCACTGCAAATAGACTGAAGCAGCCTTAAAGCCGACCTAAACTTCTTAACTCCCGAAAGCCGAAAGTTCTTGACCCTAAAAGACAGCAGCCTGAAGCAACGGTTTGGGGTTTAGGGTTTAGCTGTTGAGAAGCCAATATCCTGCAACTCCGAAACCAAAAGAAAGAGCACAGAGCAATATGTTCACCTAACCGATGAAACACTTTAAGCCCTCCAAGTCTAAAGGGTTCGAGTGTCAGTTTGTACTAGAGAAGCCTGAATAAGTGCATCATTATTCCATAGATTTCCTTGCAATACGTACACTATAGTATACGTTGCCATACCACAAGTATACTCTCTCTCTCTCTATATATATATACATATGTGCACACGCACCCCGTATTTCAACCATTGAGGCCCGTAGAAAACGTGAGGTCCTTGGGCTTGGCCCATGACCAGCCGCCGCCGTCTTCCCTTCCACCCGGAACCTCTGGGCGGCTGGTTGGCAAACGGGAGTTTCTGAAACTTAGGGTACCTTGTTACATACGGATTCTTTTAAAGGGTTACTATAAGGGTACTCTCAGGGTTCCTTCAAAGGGCTCCATGAGGGTTTAGGGTTTGCGAACATTAGGGGTACCTTATGCTGTGGTCCTTCTTACAAGGATCCTACTATGTAGGGTACTATGTTAGGGTCCCCATTTTCGGATACTCCCATTTTGCGTTGTTGGGGCTTTGGTTTAGGGTTTAGGGGTTTCCGCTTTAGGGGTTTAGGGTTTAGGATGTTGGTGCAGGCTTCAGGCTTTAGCTTTTGGGCTTTAGGGCTTGATGGGATTCTGCAACAGATTTTCTAGACTTTAAGCATGTCGCGGCCTTAGGGCTTCCAGAGAGGAGTCCTGTGGAAGGGCTCTGCGATACCAAAAACTGTCTAAACAGCCGGAGGTCTGCCGATCCCATTCACGTCTGCTGTCATGGAGGGGATGGCATCTCGTCCTCGTTGACGACAACGTCACCGGCTTTAACTGGTACAGTGCGCTCTCGCACGTGCCAATGTCCTCGGTGATGCTGCGGCCTCAGTCTCGTGCGGCAGCATAAAGAATCGATTAGATCGGCTCGGCACTTGAGGTGGCGTGCGTTGCTTGCCACGGCTTGGGAACTCATGGACGAACACGGCGTGTCTGCTTGGAGCGTCGCCGGCACGAACAATGCGTTTTACCTCTGCAACGCGCCTCTTGGACATACGTGGGTTGCGGTCTTGCGGTGACGCAAGCACTGGTGGCTCATAAAGTGCGGTGTGCAACTGAAATGATGAGCATATGAGGTACGACGACGGAGAGTGGACCAACGAGCACCTCATGCGTAGGGCCAAGAATATCTTACAGCCGCCGACAGGCTCTTCTTGCAACCTGGGTTTGGGAAGGGAGCGGCAGCCTTGTCATTCATGTGGTGCCGGTGTGCGCTTGTAGGCGCATTTCCCCTACATGGAGCTCTCTGTGTGGCGTCCCCGTTCGCCTACGCGGAGGCGGCTTCATTGCCGTTATAAGTTGCGGGCGCATGTAGCTGCAGTTGCGGCAAGTGGTAGCAACCGGTGGCAACTTCGAGTTGCAACGGCTCCATTCTGGGCGACGTCGAAAGGAGCGTGCACTACCTCATCCGAGGACAAGCTGGCAAAAGTTGGCACTCGTACGGGTCACCATTTTCAAGTCCAGAGCCCAGAGGGGCGGAAACCGGGTGGGTTCAAGGCCACAGCCGAGAGGCGGGCCACATTCATGTCTAAAGCTGCTGGGCGTATATGTTTCACCAGCCATGTCCAGGCAGCCAAGCGACGCCAGTGGCGCGCCATCAGGTCGCAGACAAATAAAGTTAGAGTTCCTAAGCGGGCGGTCTTCAGCCGAGGGTGGCAGGATGTGTCTTGCAAGGATACCAGGCATCGGCTTTTCGTGCACTGCGGCTCCTGTCCTTCCACCAAATCTCCAGGGGATACTTGGGAATCACCTTACGGGTCCATGCACCCATGCAGTACCTGGAGGGTCGGGGGACTTACTAAGTAGTTATTTTTTCGTGCTATACGTGCCATAACCCCAATTAGGATCCTTGTAGGGTACTTAAAATTCTACTTATTAGCTACTTACTAAGTCCCCCGACCCTCCAAGTATAGACTTGCTTGGCCTTAAAATTGTCCAATTTAGGTACGCTGGGGCCAAAGTATATACTGAGAATAATTGCCGAAACCCGAGTTCTGAAACCGTGTACATCGCCTCGACCGTTCAACTTCTCAGTCGTCCTGCCCCCGCAGATGAAGCTGCTGGCAAGGGCAGGTTTCCGGGACTTGATATTTCCAAGTTCTGCGAGAATGTGCAGTAGGAGACCCCTAAACCTTAAAGCCTAACCCCTAAACCCTAACCCCTAAACCCTAAACCCCAAACCCTGACCCGAAAAGCCTCAATCCTTAAGAAATGAAGCATAGGTTTATCCGGTTTTCAATGTTTGGGGTTTTACTACATCGCGCATTGAAGTTGTTAGCATTGCACCCGATTATGGACTGAAAACGCCAATGCTAAGCAGGACCTGCCCTAATGTGATAATTCCGAAGCACGCCTAGAACCCAACATTTTTGTTGGGTTCAAACCCAGGCGGATGACCATCCATCTGGAGCTCGGCAAGAAGCTTGTCTCAGACCGTCAAACTTGGAAGAACCCCTAAGCAGACATTCAGGCCCTAAAGCCTGGGTTTTCGTGCCCGCAGCCGCATCTTTGAGCCTTGTCGGGTGCACGTGGGTCCTGGGCTGAGGGTTTCGGGTTTTAGGGTTTAGGGCTGAAGGTTGAGGGGCTTCGGCTTAGGTGTTTGGGGTTTAGGGTTTGGGGCTTAGGCTTTAGGGCCGATGCCCGAGGCCGGAAGTTGGCCAGACAAAGGGCGAGGCAACGGCTGGGAAGCAGGGCCGTCATCCGCAAATGCGTAAAATTGAGGGATCCATGAAAGGATCCGTCAACGGATCCTGTAAGGGATCCTGTAAGGCATCCGTCAAGAGCCCATGTAATGCCACCATAGAATGCTCGACGTACAGAATCCTACATCCTACACCCCAAATGCCGGAATAAGATCGTCACCCTAAAACCCCAACCGGTGGATCCTGCAGTCGTGGCGGCGGCGGTGGTGGTGGTGGTGGTGGTGGTGGTGGTGGTGGTGCAGGGTTTGGGGTTCAAGGTTTAGGTTTTGGTCGTCGAAGGTTGTGGTCGCTGTTTCGTTTTCACCGTCTTCACCGAGTCCCGCCCCTCGCCCCACGGAACAGTCGTAAGCCTCGCAGACTGTAAGCCAGCACCCTTTAACCTAGTGCAGAGCCTTAAACAGTGAACTCTAAAATTCCTAAACCCTGGAACCTGCAGAACCTACCATTACCATCAGTGGACCCTCTAACGAGGTTGGAAGCAGAGTGCAGTAGAGCAGCAGGTCCCATAACCCCAACTACTTAAAGGATCATGGAACTTAGTATCTGTGGCTTAATCAAAAAGGTAGCTATACTCATAACTACGTCGAGGATCCTAATTAAAGTGCATCTGCCCCTTCTGATTAAGTCCCAGCATCCTCCTAGTGCAGTAGGGTAAGGGTATGTGTGTCTCCACTCGTAATCAACTTATTCGGTCTGTGTCATCCTCCAAGCCACAGGAACCCGGGACCCTATTGAGTGTAGGGTTTGGGGTTTAGGGATTCCATAAGCCTTGAACATAAGCCTTGAACTGACGACCTTCTCAGTCTCAAGTAAACTTTGAACCCTATAGAACCCCAAGCCTTAAACCCTAAACCATAAGCCTGAACCCAAATAGATGAAGCCCAACTGAGCGGGAAGGCATGTCACGGGGAGAAGAGCCTGCGATTGACCTTCGAAGGGACCGAGCCTCCGGTCGAATGGTATTGAATTTTGGGTCCTTGATGCGTCTAGTGTTTAGGGTATAGGGATTTGGGGGTTTAGGGTTCTATCGTATCCTTAGGATTTGTTGATTGTTGTTCATACAAACTCAAGAGAATATGAAACATACTATGCTTATTATGGTTCTACGAGGGGTATAGAACTTTGAGGGGGGATGGGGTTTAGGCTGGGCTGGTTTTTCCAAGCGGCTTGCTGGGGTTTCACTTTGTGCTCGATGTGTTTTTGCTTGCCGTTTTAAGGGAGTTTGGAGATCATCCTCAACCCTGAAGCCTACGGCTAGCAGAGTGGGTCTCAAGACCGAATTAGCACAAGCTTGCCCTAAACCTCGGCATTCAAGCCAAAGGCCCCCAGCCAATAGCCCCCTAAACCCTCAACCCCAAACCCCTAAACCCCTGAACGCTAAACCTCTAAACCCCCGTACCCCCCTCCCCCCTCCCGCCGAAAAAATCAATCCACATCCTGAGCCTTCCCATTTTCCTGGTCCCAGGTGGCTGGCAAGGTGGTGCAAAGTTCACCCCTTCGTGTGAAGTTGCAGCATCCTGGCTGCAGGTTTCAGTTTTTAAGGTTTAGGGTTAGGGGTTAGGGGTTGAAGACTTATTCGTTTCGACGCTTGGGGGTTGGGGCTTTGCGATTCCCGGCTTAAGGGATTCAGGGGGATTAGATGCCGTCACCTACGAGCAGGATTGGAGCGCTTCTATAGAGCTTGCTTTGGCGACTGTTGCTTGTCGTTGCAGGTGCCGACGGAGCACGCAGAGCTTCGTGTACACCTTCCGGGACCGGCGTCGCACAAAGACCCCCTCGAAGTCCTATCCCAAAGGATCAAGAGTAGCTACGCAGCTACGTGGGGGATACTTACACGCAGGAGCAAAGTAATTCCCAACATCGGGACCACATTTTCACAACATGTACATACTTAGGACCACTCCCAGGGATACATCGGCAAACCTTAACAAAGTAACTCTGAGTAGGGACACGAATTATGCGAGATAGGAGCTTGAAAGATTGGCAAGAGTACTCCTTGGTTTACGATAATTGTACCAAGAAGAAGCCCCTGAGAACAGACCTGGGCAGCAAAGCCCCAGACTGTCCCCGCAAACCCGAAGCCCCTTTGAGCTTAGAGGCCTGGATAATTTCAACTTGTAGTTCTAGTCCAAGTTTAATGTTAGTCCGTTCTTAATCCCTGGGGTTTGCTTGTTTCTATTATAAGTACTTGAGTATATCCTCCTCAACCTTACTGTAGTATCAAGGCTCTTCCAGCCAGTACACCGCCTTGCTTTCAAATGTAGACTTATCCACAAGGGCCCGGAAGGGGTTTCTCCACTCCTGGAACACAAACTTCAACATCCCCTAGTTCGGGCTTAGGGTTGAGGTTGCAGCTTCGGGTATCCTTCCCGTTGCCTCAACCGGCAAACTTGTTTATAATCAGGGTCCTGGGTGCAGGAATCTCTGCAAGCCCTGAGAAGCACCAAGCGCAAGGGTCCTCGCATTTTTTGGGTGGTTCCGGACCTTCCTGAGGAGATACTTGGACGGTGGGGGGACTTACTAAGTAGCTATTTTTGTTACAGAGCTATAAGTACCATAACCCCAATTAGGATCACTTCTAACTCCTACTTATTACCTAGGTACTGGGTCCCCCGACCCTCCAAGTACATGCTGGGCTGCTAGAGGATGTCGATGGCTCCACGCAGCATGCAGCTGCGGTTCTCCCTCAGACTGACTGCGGAGGTTTCGATCCCGGCAGTTCCTTTCTTGTGGGGATACGGGATGTGGGATGAAATTAGTTTCAAGGGCTTGGGATGTAGAATGTAGGGTTGAGGATTTACGACAGGGCTTATTGAGCTGAGGGTTTAGGATCTAGGATCTAGGGTTTAGGAGCTGGGATTTGGAATGTAGGTGTTCAGGTTTCGGATTCACGGGTTGGGACTTTTCGCCCACATCCCCAATTTGGATCCCGTGAAACCTTAGCGAGTATGTAGTATACTGTATAGGCAGCACCTCAGTAAGGATCTGTTAGTGGGTTTTTGAGTTCTCTGAGTCCTATAGAAGCTTTGATAGTTTCCAACTACTATTCTGCAACTCTCCAACACCGTATTCGGATGATTCTAATCTATTCTGATGTTTAAGCCCAATACAACGTAAACCCTATACGCCGCTGACAGCCCCTTCTCGCTTTTTTTCTGACCTTCAAGGAGCACTATCCAAACTATTAAGGCCCCTGTTTGAATGCCGCTGGTGAGGCCGCGCTTGTCCTGTGCTCATCAGCCTATCTGGAACGAGCATCAGTGCCAGAGACAGCGGCACGCCTGCAAAGGAAGTAGGGGTTCGGGCCGCCATGTCGACCAGCTTTGACTACAAACTCTGACAAGTGTTGCTCTACCTCCCGCCGGTTCTGGTGTTGGAAGCTAGAAATTAGATGAGTGGTTTCAAGGGAAGTCAAATGTTCAATGACACGCAGTTGAGACACTGCACCGTATGAACCCCAAACCGTTTGCTGTTGTTGTTGTTGTTGCGCCTTGCAGGTGCTGACTCCTACAAATTCAAAGCGCGTGGTGCCGCAGCTCCGCCAATGTCATTACAGGTACAGGATTTGGATAGTCTAGGGTGTGCTGAACTATCCAAACACGTCGCAGTGTCACCAGCCGGGCTTGGTAGTTTCGTGACGGAGCGCGGGACCAGAATAAAGCTGAAATTTGGGCGATTTTTGGGTGGGTATGCAAACCTTAAGCCCGGTAAACCGGACAAAATCGATATGGTTCGAGGCGTTTTGCTGGGTTCTACTGTGACGTCCTAACCAGCTTCGTTTTCTGCAGTATAGACGGGCTAGCCTATGCAAGCCAACTCATGCGAAATGCATGAACTCGAAACCCGAGGAAGACTACACGTTTGGCGTCCATGGTGCCTGGCTCATCGCTCCCACGCGACATGGGGCCCACAACTGGGAAGGTGACTTGTCATTTTTTAGCTTCAAGCCTTGGGTTTAGAGTGTTGTTTGTTTGGCTTTCATGACTTGATTTAGAGGTTAATGTTTTGAGAAGTTGGGCTCCTGGTTTGTGAGTTTTGTGTTCAGGGATTAGTGGGGTTTCAGGGTTTCAGGATTTCAGGCGCAGGCAGCAAATAGAATTAGAACGTCGGCTGGTTTTGCTGCAACTTGTGTCATACCAAGCCCTCCTGAGAGAAGAGATTCGTTGATTTCCGGACCTTTAACCCGACGTTTACCCTTAAGGAAACCCCTACAGGAGCCCTTTCAAAGGGAACAGCCCGGCTCGATCGCTCCGTCAGTCTTGCATGGGAATGGGTGCTTACTTGCGACTCGCCGTGCTTCCGAGCCGCCGCTGTTGCTTAGGGGTAGTTTTGCAAATTAGGGTCCCGTTGAGGGCACTTGTTATCAGGGCGGCGTGCTAGTTTGGGGACCCCAAAAGGAACTCTAGTTTAGAGAACTGGCCGTATCCTTTTTGCGCAACTTCCTGCAATCCTGCATTTAGGAATGGGCCCGTTGCAGAAGAAATCTTAGACCTGCAGGGGCTTCAAAAACAAGCCGAACCCAAATGCTTTCGAATTCCTGAATGCTCACAAGCTCACCTGAATTTGACAGCCTTTTCGCCATAAATATCCCCAAGACCCTAGATTCTGGAAGTGTCGGAAAAATCGGGAACCTGTGCCTCAAGATGCGGATCCTTAGATGAGGCACGCCACTCTCAGATGCGCCTTGACTCCCTAAACCTTTTCAATCCTAAACTCTACCTTGGCCAAAATAATCACCCAACACCTATGAAAGCCTAGTCTTCTATCGTTTCAGGGTCCAGGTAACCCTGAACCCCAAAACCCTAAACCCAAAGCCCCTAAGTCCTTAAACCCTAAACCCTTAAACCCTGAACCCTTACAACCCTAAGCCCCCAAACTCAACACTAAACCTAACCCATAAAACCCTTAAACCCTTAAACCCTTAAACCCCTAAACCCTAAACCCTAAACGCCCAAACCCCCAAACCCTAAACCTTAACCCCTAAACCCCTAAAAAGGTAGGTTATTCAGGGTTAAGGTAACCCCCCTAAAACCCTAAACCCACTTAACCAAAAAGAAAAAACCTAATCCCCTAAGCGCCCAAAACTCAACCCTAAACCGTAAACCCTAAAACCCGAAAAGCCTAAATCCTAAACCCCCCAAAACTCAACACTAACCCATAAAACCCATAAAACCCTTAAACCCTTAAACCCTTAAACCCTAAACGCCCAAAACAGGCGTTTGGCTTGCAGCAGGTGTAGTTTCTCACTGAGTCCACCGCTGCCGCCATAACCCTAGCGAGGCCCACACGTGTGGCCCGCGAAATCCCGACACACCGGTCTGTGGCTGCCTAGGGCCCACTGTGCTGGTGTGAGGCTTCTTTTACGTCACCAAGGACCATCTCCTGATTGGGTGCTGCTGGCTGCCATTCGTGGCCCATCAGTTGCTTTTTTCAGGGGATTGGCAACCCCGTGCATGGGACGCACCTTCAATCTGTGGTTGTTGGTTGCCACTGCACTTTTTTCTAGCGCTGGCGCGCCTTTTCTCTGGAGAGGAGGCGTGGCATCGCCGCTTACGTCGTCGCCGAACTTCGGCGCGACTTACACTGGGGCTTTTCTTGAAGGGTCAGGAACTACCTCAAGAGCGGGTTCAGGCAGCAATCGCCGTCCTGCAGAAGCACCACTCAAAGAGTTCACTTCCTCTACGTGCACTACGCAAGCTACAATCCCCCGGAGCCATGGGAGGGAATGGGCAATGGAAGTGCCGACACTGCAAGCAACATTGCAAGGCGTCGGCTCTGTATTGCCAAAGTTGTGGCACGTTCTGGCAGCAAGCTATAGAAAAGGAGCCGAAGTATGCGCATGCCGCTCAACCCTCGGAGCCCTGGAGTCGCGAATGGGCGGACTGGGAGAGTGGTTGGGAAAGCCCACGGCAGCGTGGGGGTTCCCCGAGAAGACGCGGCCGCGGCAAGGGCGGCGGCAAACAACAGCAGGGCAAAGACAAAGGCAAAGCCAAGGGCAAGGGAGAGTCATCGCAGCCGGCTGCTTCGCAGCCACCTGCCCTGGCCTCTTTGCCGAAGCCGCCGCAGCCGGCCATGCTGCCACAGCCCCCGGAAGCTGGGGGAGCGGGAGCCAGGCCCAGTCCTGGCGATCCAGCATTGCAAGCTCTGCTGGGAGCCTTGGCACAGAGTCGGGAGGAGTTACCGAGCAGTATCAAGGATATCCTAGACGCCCACATGCAGGCCGACCACAAGGCATTCTCGCGGTCCCTTCACAAAGCAGTGGCTGCACAAGGTGCAGCTCGACGAGAGCTCAGTGCTCTCAGAGTGGCTCGCCGAGAATACACACAGGCCTGGCTGGTCTATGTCGAGGGGCTATGCTCGACGTGGACAGCCCAGATTGCGGAGAAGGCCTCGGTCATGCAGAAGTTTGCAGAGCAGGAGGAAAAATGGGAAGCCCAGCTGACCGACTGTACAAAAACGATCGCTCAGCTGGCTTCCGATGCCAACCAGACAGGCAACAGCGCGGAACCCATCGAAGTGGACGAAGACGAAGAGGATTCCATGATAGATGCCTCGGCGCAACAGGAGGCACAGCGACAGGCAGCCCTGGAGCGGGTTTTGGGACAGGAGACTCAGATCACCCAGGCCCTACAGGAAGCAGCCAAGGCAGCAGGCGAGCAAGCAGAAGCCTTTGCAGAAAAGGAACGGGAGCGATCTCCGCGACGGAGAAAGCCAGAAACTGCAAAGGATGGTGCTGCCTCACGACAGCCGCTACTGTCTACAAACAAAGCGGGCGCCGACGCGAAGTCGGAGGGCCCTCAGTAGGCCTCACATTGAGCCGACCGGGATATGTGGGGCGACCAATGCCCACCTCGCTTAAGAGTGGGCGATTTTCCAATCCCTTGACACATAGTGTCACCCGAGAGCTGGACTATGTTTCTCCTTTCATGGCGGCTACCTTGGGACAACGTATGCACTACGAGGCCAGTCTGGCCAGGATGGGCATCCAGGTTGCAGAGCTGGATCCACGAGTTGCCGATTTCCCTACACACTGGGACCATTGTGGCTGTGACCCGGCTGGGCACGGATGGCCAGATGGTGAGATTCTCTGCGGGTTTGTTTCCACATTCCACGACCTCCTTGATCAAGTGGGTTCGACAAGGATGAGTTGTGACGAGGTGGGAGCAGACTTTCAAGGGTCTCATCTGAAGGCCCCGCACCCTTGCCTGAGGCCAGCAACATCTGTACAGTTGGGATGCGCTGTACATAGTGAGCAGGCTTGTGACATTTTGCGCGACACGAGCCTCGGCGTGAGTAGGGATGTACAGAGCCTTTCGTGCCAAGCTAAGCCTGTGCCTTCTCTGCCTCCCGCCAGGGTTATCAGTTTTGACCTTACACCCACCATTGTTCCATTCGCACCTGGGGATCGCCTCCCCCCGTTCCGTTCCGAGGGGCACTCGCCCACCAGGACACCTGGCACCCTGCCAGTGTGCAAGGACAGGCCTTCACCCAAGGATGCTACAGTCCGGACGCATGTGCAGCCTGTTGCTGGCACTGCGGATTCTGGCCTAGCCCTTAGGGCCAGTGCGAAGGTTTTCTACCCAGGCTCACGCACAAGGGGCGCGGACCCTCATGCGTCGGGGCCTCCAGGCACACACCGAGCACACAATGCCCAGGCCTGCGAGAAACACACCATCGCTTTATCGCAGCATGTGCAGCCTGTTGCTAGCACTGCCCTCAACCACCTTCCAGGGTCTGGGCCCATCTTGCTTCAGGATCCCTTGTCCCATCACCAGCAAGACTGCAATTGGCAGACCGTGTGCTCCTTGGACCACTGCATTCCTCCGAACCCGGAGGTACATCGACATGTTGGTTGTTCCAAGGCCGGTTCCCTGTCGAACCTTGACAACCACGCTCCTGTCACTTACACAACCGAGGTCGGGCAGGCCCATGGCGGTTCCAGTGCCGGCCCTTTTGCAAGTCTTGCACGCCCGGCTGCACCAGGAAAGAAAGGGCATCCAACCTTGCAGCATGTGCTACCATCACTGCCACGCAAGCCCACTGACCTGCAGCACATTCTGGCAGCTGCTGTTCCTGTCCATCCGCCAGATCTTGTGCCGACGCTCCTGGGGCAGCCGCCTGAAAAGCTTGCTGCATACACCGAGGCCCCTGAATATGATTCGGAGGGCCAGGCTCGGTACACGGTCTTTGACCCATCCTCTCATGTGCGCTCCAGACGCTTTCAAAGAGGATGGACCTTGGGTGACATCGTAGCGGATGCTATCGGAAGTGCAGCGTTTCCGGTGAGCCGCATCCAGGTTATTCACCATTGCATGCCGGGTTACCCTGCACCGCAAGTGATCCTCTCGGATAGAAGGACTCCTGGTGCCGCGCTTCCGCTCGACCTGCGTAGCTGCGGCGGCATGATACATACGGCCCAGCTGCAGGCGCCTCACACATGTGACGACCTGCGGGGCCTTGATGCCCGCCCTTCTGTGCACCTGCCGGCCACCTGCCTCATGCGCAACTCCCAGGGATCTCCAGTTGGGATGTTGGTGCCGCCCACAGAAGCGCATGAATGGATTGCAGTTACAGCGGATGACCAGCCACGCCCTGCTGCGCATGGCCAGAGCAGCACCACGATCACTACTACGGCTATGCAACCGTACCCGCCGCGCCTGCTTGGTTTTGAACAGCCTGTTGCGATTCAACCCCGGGTAGTGCCAGCCATTCTGGCCGAGGCCGCGGTTTGGCCGAGTCTAGTCACCCAACCGACTGGTACATGTACCCCAATTGAGCAACTGCGGTTGCTTCCACCTTTTGGTCGGGTTGCCAGTGACGGACACACTGTCCCTTTCTCCCTCATTGTTCAGGGTTTCCCGCCTGTTAGACTTTGGGGGTCCCGACACTGGGCACTCATGGACTTTTGCTACTATGCGGCCATCCAGCTGGATGCTCCACCCACGCAGGTGCATTTCATCACCTCTCCTCTTCCCGGTATTGATGCGCCACAAATTGTTGTTGTTGAGCCAGGGCAAGCTGAGGGCGGCACTTTGCTTCCTCTTGACCTTAGAGAGCTTGAGCTGGGTGTCATGCCGGTCGATGTGGAGGAAGGGATGTCAATCAGGGACATCTTGGACCGCGCTGCAACAACGCTCCCTGAATTGCATGGGCGGCTTGTGGAACCCTGGAGCCAGGACCGCGTGTCTATCCAGGACTGTCGTGGGAGAGTTTATACTGAGCTCCCTGCTGCACTCGAGGAGCTTCAATGGCTGGCCTTGCGAATCCGCCCGCCGGAGCCCACCTGGGCGGCACACTCGATCCTCCCTACGGTCCAGCCGACCCCGCCAGAAGTCACTACCACATCGACAACCCTCATGAGGACTTCGGTGCCTACGGCTGCTGTGGTGGTGGTGTGTGATGGCTCTACTGTGCGCTCGGCCACCTATCCCCTCGAAGGATTGCCCTTCAGAGCGATTCTCCTTGACCTTTTGCGTGCACTGGTAGGCCTTGGCAGGCTCCGCGAAGAGTTCACACTTCAGTTGGCCCCAGTCCTTTCCAGGGCTACCGCACCTGATCACCTCATTGTCCCTATCTTAGCTGTGACTCATGCACAGGGAGCAACAGTGATGGTCGACCCGGGCGTGGACGCGCTGCAGTTGCACCCGATGGTGCTCCCGCAAGGTGTCAGGGCAGGCGATGCGTTGGCAAGCGCGCAACGGCAAGCTGGCATTCGCGTCTACGTGAACGGTGTGCCTGAAGAGCTCTGTCGTCGAGCTTTGCGGACTGGTGATTATTTGGTCTTCACTGACAATCCCAGGCCCTCATACGTGGTCCGAAATATAGACCCGGCCCTTGATCGCATTGATGAGCTGCGGCTCTTTTCCTTCCCGTTGGCACTGCCTGGCCTTGGGTACATCAGCACCACATCTCCTGTTACACTGCTTGCACGACCGCGCAATGTACCTTTTGGGGATGTTTTAGACCGGGCGTTACAGGAACGAGCCGCCCGCATGGGCACTGCGCACCGGGAGCGCCGATCGGCATGGCTTCTGGAACCTGCCAGAGCACCGCACAGACTTTGGCTGGATACGCCGCTGACACCAAGCCTGCGGCAGGCCGGGGAGCTGATCACCGAAAGTGGCCTCTTAGCGCCAGGCTCCATGCTGGCAGATGCGGATTCTGATGCGGCGACCACTGCTGCGATTCTTTTAATCGTGACTGGAGCCGATGACGTATACCGGACCTATACAATTGCCGACCCGGTGACTCCCTTGGGCTATCACCTTGTGCATCTCACACCGGGTGTTACGGTCAGCCTGGCAGGGCTTCCTGTGCCTCCTGGCTTCCATTACCGCCCGCCGCCACATACCCGAACCGGGGCGCACTTTCTCTTTGTGCGAGGTGCGGGCACTGGCCCCCTCACGGTCACAACGGAACCTGATGCACCTGTTGCGCCGGCTGAGCTGCCAATAGAGCCTGCGGCCCCGGTCATCGACATTGACGATGCTGAAGATGTCGAAGTCATACCCCCCGCGGTTGTCGTCCCTTCTTCCCCGACTGAGGACACATCACATGCTGAGCCACGGGAGGGTACCTCTCTTGCCAGTTTGACTGTAGGCCGTCGGCCCGCCACTGGGCGTGCTCCTGGCCGCGCGGGCCTTCCGAAACAAATGGCCCATGTCTGTCACGATGCGCACCCTGGTGGCGGTGTTCACCCCAGGGCCAGTGCGGCCACAACTGCCACAGCATCAGGTGTTCCCTCTGATTCCACCATGCCGCCAGACATTTCTTCCTCTGACCTTCAGCACGCGACACTTCCAGCTGTGCGATCTGTTGGTGTGCCGTTGGTGCCTACTCCGTTTGGAAGACGGCATATACCGCACCAGACACGTGCTTCAGCTGGTTGCAGGCTCCCTGAGTCAGCGGTGAAACCGGCAGCCAGCGTGAATACTGGCATTAAGTGTGACAGCCCTGGCCACGTCGATGGGCCGAAAGAGACTTCACTACACATTGGCCTGCCCAATGATGCGATTGATGTGGCCTTAGATGGATTTGCCCTACAACATGCTTGTGTGCGTAAGCCTGCCCGCCTGGATTTGCCAGTTGAAACGGCCGCCTTCCTCAACTGCCTACCCAGCGCCACCAGCACTGAGAAGCCTTCTTCACTTCTCATGTATGTTGATGGATCTTTTGAAGATGGTCGGGGGGCTTGGGCTGTCTGTTGCTTAGGTCTTTTCGAGGACGAGTGGCGCTGGATCGGATACTTCGCCGACAAGGTGCCCGAACAAATTGCGGTTCACTCTGCCTTTGAGCCAGAACTCTATGCACAGTTAGTTGCCCTGGGGGTCGCAGCGCGTGCTGGCATTTCAGCCACCGTGTACTACGACTGTCAGTCGGCCTCCCTTGTTGCTTCTGGCTCTGCTGCTACGAGTGCTGCCACTGACCTGGCCAGAGCAGCAGTTCACCTTTACATGTGCTGTGCGGTGCAGGGGCGATGCCCGGCCATGCAACATGTTAGGTCACACCAGGGCAACCCTCTGAATGAACTGGTCGATAGGATGGCCAAACTGGCACTCCGGAGTGCCCGCCCTCCAGCCCCACTCGGAGATTCAAATGTGGCTGATTACATATGCAACCGTGAATTTGACTGGCTCTGGCTGTATACGGCTAGCCAGCAATCATGCATATGGCCTGTTGTTGACCAGGATGGGTGCACTGAGCCTGCTTGTCTCCCGCCTCGCTCCCAGCTGCCAGAGACTCCCAGTGCCTGGGCATTTGCTAACAGGGACAAGGGGCCCACCCACATGTCTGTTCGTCTCCGT